ATTGATTTTTAATCAAAAAATTATCCGCATAATTCCGGCGAATCCTTTTTTTATGCGACGCTCAAATATCGAACGAACGAGAAATGAAGGTATTCCCTTCGATATCGGCTGGCTTTTCTCCATCTGACACTTGACAAGGAATCCCTTTCAATATAATTTACTTTATAACGCGCCGAGGCCGCCGAAGGTACTGTATTGGAAAATCTGTCATAATATATTTGTTTGGAGATCCGTGATTATGATTTGGCACGATTTTTCGATGGAGAATTTTTTATAGCGCAAAAATAATAGCCGTTGGACGTAATTTATTACCGAACCAAAATGACAGGGCGAGGTACGAAAAAATCCGGGGTTTTTTATATAGGCGAGCCATTGTGCACCTAACGACAAAGCATAATGTTTTATACAAAACGTATTTCTAATACATATAATTGATTGGCTTCGTGAACATGCATGCGAAATTGTTTAAAATACTTAGCATAATAATAAAATGCTGTACGTAATAAACAGATAAAAATTATATGTATTAACACACACTTATACACATGTATTTGACAAAATAAGGTAATTATTCTGCTAGCCACTATTGCACCACTCCCAATTATCATTTAAAAAAATCCCAATTAAATTTTAAAGCTCTATTAAATATAATGACAATTTATCATCTCACTATAAGTATTCTATTTGCCAAATAAAATAACCGTGAATTGATCCAGAATATGCTTTACAGTGCAATTTTCGATACCGTAATTTTACGTCCGAAGAGTTTTTTCGAGTAATGTAAAGTGCTACAAAGAAACGAATTCCATAAATTCCTCCTTTATCGTTTACCTTTTGATAGGAATAAAGATTTAGTAAGCTGTAAAATTTCATATAGAAATAGAGAAGCAATATACGATAGTGTCGTAAAATTTTTCATTACGCTAAAAGTGTCGGAGACGAAACGAAAAACGACGGAGCATTAGAATCTTGGCTGATACACGTGAAAATCGCGATGATAATGTATGTTCGTCGTTATTTTATCCATCGGTATCGCTCTTTCCCTGCTGGGGAAATGAAACGAGAGCCGACCAAGATGAAGAGCAAGCGAGTTTTCTTTTAATAATTAATACGCCATGCTTTTACTACGGAAAACTTCTTAAGGAAACTAGCGGTTTTTTTGCGAAAAAAATCATCAAAGCGCGCTGGTTTAATTTTCATAAATTAAATGAGTTGGCAAAAAATCCGCGAACGTTTCGATTGCGTTAGATGGAGAGACGCAAATTGGGAAAATCGCAGAAGTGTAAAAGTATATATAGGTGCATTTTCCTACGGCTTGGTTTTCTTTTTATAATGCGGTTAATGCGGTTTTCCAAATAGGAGTTGTCATCAAACAAACAACAGCTATTTTCTTTTATGTTTCTCTGAAAATGTATAAAATGCATTCGTTGTAAATCGCGTTTAAACAAGCGGCGTATTTTACGTTACGCCAGTGATATGTTGAAAATATTTTTATTTCTCTTCTGTTACATCTCTGTTATTTCATTTCGAGTCTCCCCACAAAATTGCCTTAGTGAATTATTTATTATTTGTTAATTTTTAATTCACACCTTTCAATTCGAATTCACAATACCGCTGTTATCCCATAGGTATTCCCGGAATATTTTAAAGCATAATTAGATATTTACGTAAAACCTATAATTCAAATTCACCTACATAGTTTTCCATTTGCCATATATGGGTGTAAAATGAATAATATTTACCTCAATGCGAATAAAATTATATTGAAGATGAAATAATATTTGAATTGTAATTTTTTATTGTTTATTCCCCTTTACGTTGATATTCTCATTTCTTTCAAACGTATAATATATTCATAATAAAAACGAGCATCGGAATCATAATAAATAGCATTGCATTTACCGGAAAATCAAGAAAACTGCAATTCCTTTATCTTATAAAACTATAAATGCCAATCCAGAATTTCCGTAGCATCTCCTAAATTGAAATACCGGACGAAATCCGAAAATAAATCGAAACAGAGCGCGACACGTCAGTTGATTTAGACGTACAAAAATATCCATTTTCGTTGTACCCTTTCCCGGAGTCCGAAGTCAATTTTTTTTCTGTTTCGAGGGCATAAATATTTAAGGGTCGCTCGACAGATAAAGTTCAACAGTGACCCGATCTGCGCTTTGTTCACCCGGATAAATATCAGATAGGAACGAAAATCCGGACGGCTCTTGAATATTCCGGTACCAACGTTGATGGATTCACGATGTAACTTGTCACTGGTAATTGGGATTTCGGATTTTTGCTTCAAAAATTAAACTCGCTCGAGCTCTTAATGAAATTTCGAGTCCTGTTCTGCGTGGAACTTAGCTGAGTTAACCTCTAACACCGGTAATTATACTGGTTGATAAAATCTTTCAACTTCGATAAGCCTCACATGATTTAGCGTTGAAAGTTCTTAATGATATTTGCCAAATTTTAGGCATATTACGAGGAAACGTGTATATAGGCGTTGATAAGTTGATGTTTCGAGCTTTCCCTAAAGTTTAATCAGATGGAAATTTATACCCGCATATTTCTGTTTTCTTTGTAATATCCAGATAAACTTGTTCCACGCCTTTAAAGCCTGGAATGCACTAGGTATGTTATTAACTGTTGCGAGATTTTTTTAGTAGCCTCTATCACGCAATTCACTACATACAATATAAATCGTTATTAATTTCAGCTATGCAGTTTAAAAAAAATCTTTTTTGATATCTACAGAATGTGTTTAGTAAGGTCTACAATTAAATAAAAGTGCTTCGTCCGCTTTCACATACATTTTACTTCATATACGTAGGAAGATTTATTTGGACGTTTATTCTTTTTATTTAGTACTCCCTAGCCACTCTGAACAGGAGCCTACGGTCTTCCTTCGTTTTCATTCTCTTCCGCACTTTAAATACAATTTATACTCAGAAAACAGAAGAGCCACATTTATAAAAATTTTCAGATTTTTCTCCAAAACATTATTTATTGGCAATGGATTGTATGAATTCTACACCTCAAGTGTGCGACAATGATGGTCCTTGTACAAACCTTGTGTAAATATAAATCAATTCGCCAGGTAAATCACTTCACCAAATGATTCCGTGAAATTTCTGTTTGAATTAGGCATTTAGAAATTTTGATCGTGCAATCACAATATTTGCATTGAACGTTGATTAAACGAAGTACCACCATCGGAATACGGGAAGACCATTTCCATATAATTGCTAATCGCGTATTAGATTATTGCTTTATCGAGTTCCAAAACAAGCCTCATATACACAGAGGTTAATACTAATACCTACATGTATTCGTATATTATATACCCACATTTACGCTATGCGGCTGTTGCACCGCCGTACATATTTCAATAATATTATTATTTAATCGGGATATCCGGTATAAACCGGGAATTACACCGTGCTGGCATTAAATTTAGATTCGAATCTTAATGATGGGATTTACTTAAGTGTATTTATTAATTACCAACTGTGCGCGCCAGCAGTGGAAACAGCCTCGCAAAAAAGAATTTTAAACGATTTCCGAAGAAACCGAACGCGCCGTGGAAATTGCAGGGAGGACGATTTATCATCTAATCTAATCGCGCAGGTGAAATTCGATACCCAAAATAAACTGCTTTCCATTCGTTTTGATGTGTTTCATGAGTAAATTTAATTTGAATTTAAATTTGAATGAACCACTAGATATTTTTTAGATATCTCTAGTCAACATTTAATTATTTATTTAAGCACTGTTTACTCAATGTAGGTTATGCTATTTTTCTCCTTTAGATTAAGTTTATCACACAGATTAATTTATGTTATTTTTTATTTGGCAAGTAAACTTTTCTAAATTACTAAATAGTATCCAAATGCAACTATAATGCGAGGAAATTCCCGTATAAACTGACATTAAAAGTTGCGTTCATTACATCAGTGTGCTCTAATTCCGCGGAAAATCCAACTTTTAACACAGTATAATGCAATTAAATTTCAAAGAGCAATCCTAAATTTTTGCCACTAACGGCGATACATATACATAATCGCGAGGAATTCTTTTATTTTTTCCACTATTCGCCTAAAATCCCCGGCAACAGATGTAGGAAATTTCGGAAAGCGAATCCCTTATGCAAACACACGCCTCTCCAAGTTTTGGGAAACGTACGTTCGGGACTCAGTTAACCGAGCGGATAGATTTAGAGGCCCTCGCGAATAAAATTAGACTATACACTATTCCGCTAAAAACATGTATTATCGGAATACTAATTTAAACTTGCGCCACTCTCATTGTCGCATAAGCGATTAGGAGGAAAACGCGAATAAATCTACCAGCAACTCTTACGAGTAGATAGGTATTTTACTAGTTAAGAACGAGAAGAGAAATCGCTCGGAGTTTCCGCTTGTGTATTTTTCATGCTGAAATTATACGAGTAAAAATCAATTCGCTAAATTCGTTTTCGACATTTCCAACGAGAAATTATGCGAACCGGTTGAAAATACTTGAAATTGTTGAAACAAGATTAAGAGCGTAACTGTTGGAGAATTTCGCATTATGTAATAAAATTATAGAATAGCTTTTGAATGACGTTCATAAATTGCGAACTTGCGGCAATAGAACATTTAATTATGCGGTAATTATTTCGTCGGTAATAAAACCCCAAAGACTATTATTGAATTGCGAAGAATGAAGAAACTGAAGTTAAATTTCTTATTTTCCAGTTTTAACGAGTTTTTTTATATCATAACTACACTTCTAACAATAAAAATAATTATATAACCTTTCATTTTTTTAAAACTAATAATAGTTTTATTTTGGTAAGTGAGAAGTTTATTTAAATCCATAATGTTTTCATCCTGTTTTATAAATTATTCCATTATCAATGTTTTGGATCTATACAATAAGTGGATATTTTTATGTTTTAACGTTTATCGTAGAACTAATTTCGTTCGTTATCACAAATTATCTTTTATTTTATTTTCCAGCACATCGTACTGGACGTGGTGAGTACCATTCACGATCACACACTATCAGTGATTTACGGATCAGTAAGTACAAAATTATTAAGATTAGCCACGAGTACCTATAGATACCATCTAGTACTGTACCATATGAACTATACATATATTACTCATCATAAAGTTTGGTACGTTAACTTCTTATAACATCGAAACTTTTCGTTAAACTTGTTGATGTCACCTCATCGAAATAATTAATATATATTCCAGCATAAAACAGTAGCAATGTCGCCTTTCAGAGCTTTGCCAATGGACACAATATACAGAAGGGCATAAATCAAAAGGCGAGCACGCCCCTAGGCGCCGTAATAATGCCCCTAGTTCGTCCTTACAACAACTCCGCGGGTCGTCGTATATACTAGATATTAATATCTGTTTTTATGGTGCGATTTTCGACGCGATACACCAGACAAGCTCGCTATCAGACTGGCAGACCGCGAAATATATCATATCTGAATTAACATTTTAATTAAATCTTCAGCGTGGAGGTGTTTTACTTCCATGATTAAAAAATAATCGATAATCTTATACTAACACTTAGTTTGCACGAGAGGAAAGAACTTTTTCATTATCCTTAAATTATTAAGCTCTATATTGAATAACACATTTCCTTCTGACTTTTACATATCTGAAGTATGTATGTAAAGTCATTGATGTATTAACGAGAGCATAATTTACACATAATATGTGGGTACAGATATTCTATTCATTGTAGAATTTGAAAAATTCCTGTTTAATATAAGATAAGCTTTGACAAATAATATAGTACAAGTAGAATACAAATGCGAACGCCTGGCTGGGAGATTTCTTACATTAAGATTCCAAACGTTAGTTAACTAGGAGAACAAAAACCCTTGTGGGAGTCGAGATTGTCTTGTAATGAAATTGACTCAGTTTTTGCTCCAGACAATATTCAGCCGGTTAAATTAATCTCGTTATGTTTGTCATTTGTGAGTGAGTTGGCGCCATTTGCTACTTGCCTGCAATGAATAGAAGGAGGTCTCGAAAATCGAGCCGAGCTCGTCAAGTTTAAAAGATGAGGAGAAAATATCGGAAATTTTTTAATCAATGTGCGACACCGGACGATAGAAAAAGGTTCATTAAAGCTTTCCAATTTCCCAAGCATTCGCCGCACTAAAAGGAAATTATTTCGAAGCTTCAAAAAAACCCGACCGCGGATTATGTTACATGGGCGAAAAATGGAAAAATTGCCGTGTTGCATTCAATTAGTGTGAAGTTTCAAAAGAAATTCTATATATATATACACCTATTTTTTTACGTTTCCTACTCTAATGAATTTAATGAGCGCATGATGAAGTTTACCTTTGTTCCTAACGCGATACCTACATGTTTTTATGTGTACGCACGTTTGACGTTCTTTATGCATTTCGGTGCAATTAAAACGGCTTTTTGACTTCATGCATAATTTACTTACGGTCGTTTTACTCATTTGCTCGATGTTTGAAATTGGAAAATGCGACAGAGTAGACGATGCTTTTTTACTCATACATATCGAGGTCATTCGAATTGCAAATAGCGAAACAATTCTTCAATCTAAATCGTTTAATTATATTTTATATACGTGAACCTAATTAGAAACGACTGCACCTTGTATGCATGCTATTTATACTCATTTTGCTTTATTATGATGGGATGTTGTTTGACTGAAGATGTTGCATAAGTTGCATTAATTAGAACCTATGTACATGGAGCCCAAAGTTGCTTAACATATACCGAAGTTATGTACTACTACAGATAATATATATTGAAGTTTGGTATTTGGCAATTCAAACAACGTCAACTTTGAAATACATAGATTATATTTGACCGTAGAATACTATTGTGGACTTTTGCGGACTGTAGATGAAAAAGTGGGAAAAAGTATTTTAGTTCAACAAACAAATGCATGGGTATTATAAAGTCCGGCGGACATCCGAAATGCAATTGAATTTTCCGTCTCATATTGGTCTCATTGAAAAAGCAATATCAAACAAGGTGTGCATGTATCCCCGCCGCGCGCGATTTTTCAATCATGAAATATATTCACTTCATACATCACAAAAACCAGGTTGTGTTCGCGGAATTCCATTTCTGACGACAAACACCGCCGCCCGTCGAAAAGAAACAAAAAAACCCCAGATAAGAGAATGGGGAGCAGAGGGATGCAAATACCCGAGAGTTATTTGAATAAGGAGACGTGAATGATGAAATAAACGAAATATTCGAGGAAAATGGCTGTTGCGTTTCGGTTTTAATACAAAAGTAGTTTGTTTAGGCTTAGTCGGGGGTCCGACGAAATATTTATATAAAAAATTGCCGGCCACTCAAAAGACGGCAAAAAAATAGACCCCTAATAGATATTATATTTATTGGATGTTGCTAAAAAAATATATCAAAATATGTTATTAATCGATATCTTATGTAGTCAATTTTTATCAGCAGAAAAATTTTACAATTTATAAACTTTTTGATGACCGATCAATGCTGATTGAATCAAATTCTTTCTACTAATTTTTAGTCAATATGGTGCAGCATCAATATATTTGCAAATGATGTAATTCCGTCATGATGTTTACCTTAATTTAGCAATTTTGTGACAAACACACAGATAATTGAAAAAGGTCCCTGGTATTTGTTCAAAAATGAATCGCAGACGTTTAATTAAAGCCGAAATAGGAATCTAATTTCCCTCGCATATCGGTGTAACCGTATTATTAAAACGGTCCGCCGGCTTCGAAACACATACAATACACTCCGCAAATTTTCCATTAGACAGGACCTTAATTGCACCCAACGATAACATTAAATCACCTGACGTGTGCGACAGAGAGCGGCGACATCTACCCGCAATGTGTACATACCCTACAGAAGGATATTTTTATGTTTGGATTCGCTACCTAATTGATATATGGCTCTGTGGGGGGTCCGCCACGCCGCTTGTGCTAGCCATTGTCGCTTTTCCCCGATCACGTTTCCACTAAGGTGACATACATTATGTATTAGTTGAGTAACACCGTTGAGATTTTTTGCATTCCAACTATCTAGAATCTCTTTCAAAATTGATGCTACTAGAAGATATGTAAATAATTTACTGTATGGAAGCATACTTAAAATTTTTTAAAATTATGGCGGATGAACTAAAATGTTTCTCCACCAAAAATTAAAATAGCTTCATCAAGAAAGAGAATTTTTCCATATTGCCCCATGCACATTTTTATCGGGATGTTTTATATAAACATCAGTTATGTATCCATTTTGAAAACATACACACATCCAAAGTCGTGATTCATATGGATAATGTATCGAACGCCCGACTATTTTTCCCATTTTCTGCATATTTCAATGCAGTTCTTTCACGTTCGTTTCAAATTGATCGGGATACACATTCAAATCGTTACGATATATTCGCAAAAGCCGGCCTTCTCATATAGAGTTTTACGATATGCCGCTTTAAAAACCTACAAATCGGACGTTCGTGTTTACGATAAATCGCGAATCAAATCAATTTACTCTCGTAACTTGCTATTGATCATAAAAATATGACAGTGCCGTGAAAGATTTTAATATTCCATCTTTACTTCTACATAAAGAAAATGTTGTATAGTCTCAGCGGAAGCTCAGCTCGTCTACAAGCAATTTTATTTTTCAAATGGAAATCTATATTTATACTTTTCCGAGTAAACAGGAATTGGAAGGAAACTCAGAAACACTAGAGATTATCAAACTTATACGGGAATATTTTTTGGATAAACTTTGTTGCGGCTCACTTCAATTCTTTAAGACTTTCATTTTTTGAAAGAAGCCAGCGACGCTGAAAAATGTTACGATGGAAAACTTTCTCGTATATATGGAGTTTGTTTTATTTATTGGAGTTTTTCGTGACTTTCTATATTATATATTTGCCACATTTTACATGCTCATATGTAAAGTGTTCGTAAAAGATGATTTCTATTGCAATTGAAACAAACTGAATTAATGGACCCAATTTTGACGCAAAAATCGCCTCATAAATATTCCATTGTATAAATTATGGGCTAAATTATTGCTAATATCAGTCATGCTCTCAAATGACCCGGATAAATTCGCAAAACCTTCTCCAAATGCAATTTTATGTTAATAAACCACCTGACTCCGGCAAGAACTCCGCTAATATTTATCGAAGCGTTAGAATTAATTCATTTTATGGATAATCGATAAGTCCTATAGAATTAGTCTGATCGTACTGTCCGCAGTAAAGCCGTATAGGCCCGACCTTAAGGCCAATTATACCGATCGTCGAGCAACCCGATTAATATTTAACCCGATGAATTGAATCTAAGCAGAATATTCACGGAATACGAATCAAAAATTTTGAGAAAACCTCCAACAGAGAAATCGGAATTTCCCTCTCTATCGACCAACTTTAAATATTCAATAAACACGTCTGATTTTCTTATACTTACCTACAAACAAAGGGAAGTTTCCTAACGTTTTGCAATTTTAATTCGAAGGATCTCGAAATCTTGAGTAATGCATGGAATCCTTTTTCGGTTTTTTATGAGCGTGACCTTCATCTTCGTCATGACTGAATCACTCAACGGAACAGAATGTACCGGATAATTCAATTTAATTCCTGCACAAATATTCATGAAGGTTTTCTGCTTCGTGAGATTTTGCCTCATACTGTTGCTTTTAATCGTATGAAAGAACGTAAAATATTCACCAAAATTTCATTTAAACTATGAGTGGTGGAAATATTTCTGTATTGTGGTGGGATAGGTACATTAACTTGCTTCGGTATATCATTTGAAGAAATTTATTCAGCTGAGGCTTAGGCTCGGAATCAATAGAAATAACCGGTGTTATTTTCTGGCACATCTGCTACTTTCAGCTCGTTTTACGGTGGTCAAAACTATTTTTCGGAAGAAATAAAAAAAAGGAGCATGACTAACAGCGAATAAGGCAGCGCATTTTCCGCCATTTTCGTTCTTTAAGAGACCAGGTAA